AGGCTCCATATTTCATTGGCGGACGACGAATATAGACCGATGAAATCTTGGGGTACTCGTACTCCACAAATTTATGGTTTGCCTAAAATACGTAAAGCATTAACACTCCTGCCACCAAGGTTTCTTTATGGTGAATTCACCGTACCATGCCATTGCCAAATGGCTGCACAACGTGCTCGCGACTATCCGAAAAGCCACAGTAAAATATACCTTACAAAACACCTTCAAACTACTTTCCTTACTTGAAACATGTTAATTTGGCCGAAAACCAAATGTGCTCCCATGACGTTCATCTCTCTCTACACTAAAATCCCTTTGAACGAGACTGTTCACTATCTATGCGAGATTATATCAAAGCATGACGTACGACTTCGGGTTCCTACGGAATTACTAAGGAACATGCTGCATTTATGCAAGAAAAACTCAAGGTTTACTTTCAAAGGAAACATATCGCCATAGATGATGTTACAGCGATGGGGGGGACGATGGGAGAATTACTATTACTCTTGCGTGACGTGTAACTCCACAACTATGAATACTGCATTGAAAGCGACATCTTTGTTGTGCACCCATTGTGAATTCGGATTATCGTCAGAGCTTAACCTAGTATTGTCATAGATTGGCCTTGTATATGAATATCGTCGTAGAGTCCTTATATTTTCGACTCTTCGGCCGGTATTGTGTACACCTGGGCTATCCTAATATCCAGTGCGCGACCCTATTTAGGCAAGTTGACCGTACGATCGTCAGTTTTACACTTCCACGTCGGCCGTTGTCCTAGCAGTCTGCACGTATGGCTTGCAATCATAAGGTCACCGTTCGAATCCGCGTAGGGCTGGCGTCCTCACGGTGTACTCACCCCCTCGTGACTATTGTATCACGCGTAGCGAACGCCGTTACGATGTGCCGTCGCCAATAATTTTTTATTTACACTTTTACGTGATTCAAGTTGAGGGGACCACTTGCGTTTGAAAAGGCGAGCGCCATGTAGCAGTTTTCTCTTCGAGTCTCGACAACTGTGTTCGCATTGACCCGGCGATGACAGACTAAGGTCAGTAGTTTGTCTGGTTGGCTCCCCGATTAACCTCTTCGTGGTGTCTGCTTGGTGTTTGTTTTTTCCCCTTTCAGCAATGGTTCGGTGGTAGTGTTTCAAGAACGGTGGATTTTCGCTGGCAAGCGTATCCCCAAGAAAAATCACAAATGTCCGTTTGCAACACTGCGACGTGGCGAATGTTGACTTCGCCACTAAATAAAGTCAAGGCCCTTGCTTCACCCCATGTAGTAATTATCTATGTTCACCAGGTCGTTGTGTTACAAATGGGGCTATGCAAGGATCTGGTCAACTTCGTCTGGTTAACTATACAGTAAAGGAGCTATGAACCTCTGAACCTCGGTCTATCGGGGCAAGTTCCTCTGACGGGGGGGAGACGGGTAGGCAGTGGGGAAGGACCTGCGGCAGGGGCTGGCCTTGGCTGGTTTATGCTCTCGAGCTGTAGCTCTCGAAAATTGACCCCATTCTTGTATATCAAACGCCTTTGATAGCGGGGGTTGGTGGGGGGGTCAACGGGTGTATGGTCATGCCAACCAAAACTATGCGATTCTTTACTTCTTACCTGGGGAGTGTGTGTGGGTTTTATGTGGGTGGGGGGGGGGGGGGGTTGGGGGGGGGGGTTTTGTTTTGGGGTTTTGTTTTTTTTTTTTTTTTTTTGTGTGTGGGTGTTGTTGGGTTGGTGTGTGGTTTTTTTGTTTGGGTGGGGGTGTGGGGGTTGTTGGGTTGGGGGGGGTTGGTGTTGTTTGTTTGTTGTTGGGTTGGTTGTTTGGTGTGGTGTTTGTTTTTTGTGGGGGTGTTGTGTTGGTGTTTGGGGTGGTGGTTTTGGGGGGGGGGGGGGGGGGGGGGGGGGGGGGGGGGGGGGGGGGGGGGGGGGGGGGGGGGGGGGGGGGGGGGGGGGGGGGGGGGGGGGGGGGGGGGGGGGGGGGGGGGGGGGGGGGGGGGGGGGGGGGGGGGGGGGGGGGGGGGGGGGGGGGGGGGGGGGGGGGGGGGGGGGGGGGGGGGGGGGGGGGGGGGGGGGGGGGGGGGGGGGGGGGGGGGGGGGGGGGGGGGGGGGGGGGGGGGGGGGGGGGGGGGGGGGGGGGGGGGGGGGGGGGGGGGGGGGGGGGGGGGGGGGGGGGGGGGGGGGGGGGGGGGGGGGGGGGGGGGGGGGGGGGGGGGGGGGGGGGGGGGGGGGGGGGGGGGGGGGGGGGGGGGGGGGTGGGGGGGGGGGGGGGGGGGGGGGGGGGGGGGGGGGGGGGGGGGGGGGGGGGGGGGGGGGGGGGGGGGGGGGGGGGGGGGGGGGGGGGGGGGGGGGGGGGGGGGGGGGGGGGGGGGGGGGGGGGGGGGGGGGGGGGGGGGGGGGGGGGGGGGGGGGGGGGGGGGGGGGGGGGGGGGGGGGGGGGGGGGGGGGGGGGGGGGGGGGGGGGGGGGGGGGGGGGGGGGGGGGGGGGGGGGGGGGGGGGGGGGGGGGGGGGGGGGGGGGGGGGGGGGGGGGGGGGGGGGGGGGGGGGGGGGGGGGGGGGGGGGGGGGGGGGGGGGGGGGGGGGGGGGGGGGGGGGGGGGGGGGGGGGGGGGGGGGGGGGGGGGGGGGGGGGGGGGGGGGGGGGGGGGGGGGGGGGGGGGGGGGGGGGGGGGGGGGGGGGGGGGGGGGGGGGGGGGGGGGGGGGGGGGGGGGGGGGGGGGG